TGAGAATCCGAAAGGTGAAAAATTAATATAGCTAGACCTCTTACTTTGCGAAAAAGAGAATGGGAGCCCTGGTCAAAAAGCATAAGATGAGACTTGGGTATCTTTCGAAAGAAACGGCGTTCTCGTGCCAACATGACAAGGAAAACTAAACTTAAATTAATGAATTTGGAGGCTATCTCAAAATTTAGCTTTAGTCCTCCGCGTACTTCAAGTATACGTCAAAGCACAAATGGGCCGAGACGGTTTAGCTTAGTTGTACACCATGTCTACTCTTTGCATAGGTTTAAATGATTGTTCCTAAATTGTGGCCTACTGAGTCCTTTGATCCTAAGAATAGCCCTGAAGTTCCTGAAAACATTGGATCTTTGTTAGAATATTCCTACCTCTCAAAAAAAAGGGACTACTTTCATTATTATCCATTCACCATCAAATTCACAAGTCCTTCTGATCAGTAGCTAGCTTATTAGTGAATGCTGTCATTACTTTGAGGATGTTGTGAATAATTGTGTCAAATAGTTTAGCTTGAGTACAAAGGTGTAGTTTAGGGAAGAATTTTCTTGATTTAAATTGTCTGTCCTGTGAATATCCCTTTAACTACGTATGTATGCTAACTGTTTTAAATTCCGTGTGGTGATTATCGTAAGTCCCGTTGTTCGATTTGCTTGAGGACAAGCAAAAGCTTAAGTGTGGGGGAGTCTGATAAGTCCGTATTTAGACACGCATTTGATGCGTGTCCCGGTTGGGTTTTGATGATTTTCCTAGCTTTAAGGCGTTGCAAGTCTCAATTTTGGCTCAAGTTGTGTTTAACAGGCGTTGCATCGAGTTTCATAGCAATTGGAGTTGATTTGAAAAAGTTAGAGTCCGGCAATCGGCGCTTGAGAGGCATTCGGGAAGGGTTTGAAGGCATTCGAGAGAGATTTGGAAGATTTGGAGGCCACCGGGAGATTCACGACGAAATTCTGGTGAAGAAAGAGCATTTGGATCGACGTCGTAGGCATTCGGGAGCATTCGGAACGAGAAACGAAGAAAAACGGTGAAGAAAAGGGCAGGCACGGCCGTGCCTAGGTCAGGCACGATCGTGCCTGCCATCTAAATCAACGCGGAGCCACTGGCAGCCAGACACGATCGTGTCCGGTGCAGGCACGATCGTGTCTGCAAAATTTTTACGCGTCCCTTCCGCAGGCACGGTCGCAGGCACGATCGTGCCTGGCACCGTGCCTGGCCCCGTTTTGTCCTAAATCAGCTCAAATTCCTCTGTTTTCTATAAATAAGGCCTCCATACCCACTTTTGGGGGTGACGAACTTTGGAGAGAGGCCTAGGGACGAGTTTATCTGCGTTTTTTACGTTGTTTAATCCAAGAACCTGGGATTTTTTGTAAGTTCAATTCTTTAATTAATGACAATTATTTCTATTCATCCCAATTCTTTTGATTCGTCAATTATGAGGCGTGAGTAGTTTAATTAGGGATTTGGGGTTGATGAAGGGGTTAATCATGATGTATGGCTGGATTCTTGTCGGTTTAATTGCATGAATGCCGTTTAATTTGTGTTTGGATAATTTAATTGATATCTCTTGTAACCTAGACTGCAGCTAGAATTACAATTGCATGTAGAATAAATTAAGAGAGATCTAATTTGTTCTAGGACACATTCACACACACTTAATCGTTCGCTAAGAGATTAGTAGCGATTAAGGGGCCGTAAGCTCGCTCGTCTTGGCAATAATTTAGGATCCTGTCGCATGAGAGATCAGCCTGGTCCCCTAAATTATTGTACTCTACGCCGCGAGAGCGGTAAGAACTTAGTAATGATTGGCTAGGCTCAATTAAATTAATTCCATGTGATTAGGCCTGATCTGCCAGAAGTCTGGTTAACCCCGGAATCAATTCCTGTTCCCTTCGTCGTTAATTAAGGAAAACCAAATCTTTTTATTCGTTCATTAGCATTAGTTTTATTTCAATCAATCAACCAATCTCGCACAATTGCACTATTATTTTATTTATTTCTTTTTAATCGTTAAAGTTTAGTTAATCTTTATTTCCCTTTTGTCCGTCCCTGTGGAGACGATACTCGTACTTTACACCACTTTTCTACAATCTTTTTAAGTGCGAGAAAACACACATCAAAGCACAAATGTGCCGAGACGGTTTAGCTTAGTTGTACACCATGTCTACTCTTTGCATAGGTTTAAATGATTGTTCCTAAAATGTGGCCTACTGAGTTCCTTGATCCTAAGAATAAACCTGAAGTTCCTGAATACATTGAGTCTTTGTTAGAATGTTCCAATCTCTCAAAGAAAGGGGCTGTTACTTGTTATCCATTGACCACTCACCATCACCTTCACAAGTCCTTCTGATCGGTAACTAGTTTATTTGTGTATGCTGTCATTACTCTGAGGATGTTGTGAATACTTTTGTCAAATAGTTTAGCTTGAGTACAAAGATGTAGTTTAGGGAAGAATATTCTTGATTTAAATTGTCTGTTCTGTGAATATCCCTTTAGCTACGTGTGCATGCTAATTGTTTTAATTCCGTGTGGTGATTATCGTAAGTCCCGTTGTTCAGTTTGCTTGAGGACAAGCAAAGGCTTAAGTGTGGGGGAATTTGATAAGTCCGTATTTTGACACACATTTGATGTGTGTTGAGATCGGATTTTGATGGTTTCCCTAGCTTTAAGGTGTTGTAAGTCTCAATTTTAGCTCAAGTTATGTTTAACAGGCGTTGGTTCGAGTTTTGTTGCATTTGGAGTCAAAATAAGGAATTCAGAGTCCGGCACCGGCACTTGAGGAACAATCGGGATGATTTTAGAAGCATTTGAGAATGATTCGATAGCTTTGGAGGTCACCGGAAGATTCACGATGAAGATTTGAAGGAAAAAGAGCTCTAGGATTGGCTATGGGATCAAAAGAAGATGAATGAAGCTGGAAAACAACGATCAGGATGACCTTTGGTGAATCGTTCAAGCATATCTCTTTGTAGAAGAATCCAAAGGACACGATTCAAGTTGCATATGAAAGCCAACTTCAAGGGCTACAAATCATATGAAGACACCATTACGAGAATATGATAGAAAAAAGGTGAAAACAGACGATGAAGTCAGATGATCTCTGCTGCGATTTCAGAATGACACCTTCCACCGTTTTGATCATATCTCTTGATTGGATGATTCAAATCACATTCGGCAAGTTGGGGTGGATAGAGGACTTCATTATCTACAACTTTCATGACGGAAGTTTTGTCAAATTCGGAATAGAAAAAAGGCTGAAGAGCACGGACGCACGACCGTGCGTAAAAGGACGCACGATCGTGCGTAAGAGCCAACAACGCGATAACATTCTGCCTGCTACGCACGATCGTGCGTACCAGGCCACGCACAATCGTGCGTACATCCGAGACGCGGATTTCAGCCCCTTTTTAGTCTCAGTTCAGCCCAAACTCATCTGTTTTCTATAAATAAGACCCCCATACCCATATTTTGACGTTACGAACATTACGGAGAGGCCTATGGACGAATTTAACACCGTTTTTACGCTATTTTCTTCCAAGACCCTGGGATTATTTGTAAGTTCATCTTTTTAATTAATGACAATTATTTCTATTCATCTCAATTCTGTTGATTCTTCAATTATGAATTGTGAGTAGTTTAATTAGGGATTTAGGGTTGATGAAGGGGTTAATCATGATTGATGGCTAGATTGTTGTCGGTTTAATTGCATGAATGCCGTTTAATTTGTGTTTGAATAATTTAATTGATATCTCTTGTGACCTAGACTGCAGCTAGAATTACAATTGCATGTAGAATGAATTAAGAGAGATCTAATTTGTTCTAGGGCACATTCACACACACTTAATCGTTCGCTAAGAGATTAGTAGCGATTAAGGGGCCGTAAGCTCGCTCGTCTTGGCAATAATTTAGGATCCTGTCGCATGAGAGATCAGCCTGGTTCCCTAAATTATTGTATTCTACGCCGCGAGAGCGGTAAGAACTTAGTAATGATTAGCTAGGCTCAATTAAATTAAATTCATGTAATTAGGCCTGATCTGCCAGAAATCTGGTTACCCCGGAATCAATCTCTGTTCCCTTCGTCGTTAATTAAGAAGAAACCAACATTTATTTTTTATTCGCTCAACCGCATTAGTTTAATTTTCAAATCAACCAATCTCGCACGACGCATTTATTTTATTTATTTCTTTTAATCGCTGAATTTAATTAATTCTTGATTCCCTTTTGTCCGTCCCTGTGGAGACGATACTCGTACTTACACCACTATATTACGATCTATTTTAAGTGCGAGAAAACTCACATCACCTAGGTAGTCTTTTCATCTTATATTGGCAATAATGAAGCTTGCGATTTGTAAGTTGTGAGTTGTTTTCTTTAATGTTCATATCTTTAGCAAGGTTGTTAAAATCGCGGTTTTAATTGTAAAATCGTACGATTTTTATGATTCAAAGTCGCTCAAACGATTCAACTCGTATACAAAATCGGATTTGAACAAAATTGTACAAAATTGCATTTGAATCGTTAAGAATCGTTTAAAATCGCGATTTTTAAGCAATTTTACGATTTTATTTTCAAACTCAGCCCAAATATATGAAGCCTGCTGAAGGCCCAAATCAAGCCCGTCGGACCCGCAACATACTATGTTGTAACACCCCGATTTTAGTAAGCTAGTTATATTAATCATTTTATTTTTTTTTAGTCAGTCAAATAAGTTTATTTTATGAATGGTGTGATTATTATTAATCGTGTATTGTTATGTCAGGTAACGTTGACCGGTAAGCTCCAGAAATCATAAATGAATAAGTAAATAATATGCTGAAATTATCAGTTTATATTTATCTTTAAAATATTTTTTTAATCAGGTTAAAATTCTACTTTCAGAACTAGAAGCATTTTTTTAAGCAGACTAAGACACCCAAATCAGTTATCTTGGCCGAATCGGTGTTTTGGTTAAGAGCCCTAAAAGGAGTAGTTTATACACATAACACACCGCCTTTGTTTTTTTTTTTCAACAACAGTAGCCGCACCGCCTAATTAAATCAATCGGGAACCGACTTCCCTGATCTCCCTATTTTCCCCTTTCTTCCTCTTCATCCAAAGGTTTTCTAATCAGTATTTTGTTGAAGCTCCTTGGTCCCTTGTGTCATCGGCTCTTGTCTAGTAAGTTAATTATCACTCTTCTATGCTTTTGCTAAAGGTTTTACTCTCATGATTTTAGAGTTACGTTCAAAACGAGAGGGATGTTTTGGCCGGACAATTTTTGCTACTAAGGTCTGGTTTTTTTAAATCTGGCAGAATCCTTGTTGTCCGTTTGGAATTTTAAAAAGAAAATTAGGATTCAAAGACAAAACCTAATTTTGTTGCTAACGTTGTTAAAACCCAGGCAGCTGGACATTTTATGTCCTATAGCATCACCTAAATCTGATTTTAAGAGATTTAAGCTATTGGATAGATACTTGCTCAATTGTTTAGCATATGGGTCATATTGTTAATGTCTGATTTTGAATTTAAGTCAAGAGTTTAAGTTGCCAAATTAATATCCTGTAACCTCTTATTCGTATGGTGAAAAAGGATTTTACATCCTAATTTAAAGTTCATATTCATACAAACGTATTTGAAGTTATTAGGAGCAGGTTTAAGGAGCAGGAGTCTATTTCACTTTGTTCATTGTTTTCCGATTTCAGAAAATTTAAATTTCCTTTTACTCTTTAGTAAAAGCACAATTTAGAGTTTAAGTGGAAGTAGACTTTATTCATAAATGATGAGAACGAGTATCCTTTTGAAACTTTATGCTTACAGATTCTTAAGAAAGAAAAATCATTTTGTTTAAAGTATTAGTAAATGTTGGAATTTTCTGAAAGGATAGAATGTTCTAACTATATTATTACATGTAACTAAAGATTTAAGAAGGGGCTTACCGAGAGACGTTATCAAGGTGTCGCACTTAATTGAGTAATCTGAGTTCAACTTCTACAGGTAAGTCATCACCACCTATACATGATAGTTTGAAATAAATTGTGGATGTCTAGCTAATTATGAATTGATATACTTGCTTCATTACTTAAAAGTGTATAGCATGAGATTTGTGTAAACTCCAAGTTAGATGTATGGATTGACAGGTGTGTAAATTGTAAAGTTATTGTGTTATCAAATATGAAGTATTCAAGTTCTAGGAATTGTATGAAGTAATTATAAGTAATGTTTTAAGGTAGCCGTGCCCCCAAGTAACTACCTGAGCTGAGCGTAGCGGGACGTCCTTCCGCGGGGAGTCCCGGGGTTACTTCTGATGGGCTGCGGGCTAGCTACCCGAGATCATTGGCGAGGGGCCAGGACACGAGCTACGGGCCCATAAATGAAAAGGACAAAGTGAAGAAAGAATGATCTATAAGGAAACTTTTCGTTAGTTTCGATATTTGAAGCTTTTGAGTATGTGGTTATGCAAAGTGCTTTTGAGTATTCTAGCTTGTGTATCTATTTATAGCTAGCTAAGACTCCGTTATTTTAGTGGATATAATGGTGACTTACTAAGCAAATTTTGCTTACGAGACTTCTATTCTCTCGTGTTCTCATGTATAGGAAATGAATAAAGGATGGAAGCTTGAGAGAATGTACAGAGCTGGTGACAGGGTTTTGGATGGGTTAACGGAGAAGACCTGGCTGGTTGTTATGTTTTGTATTAGTACTTTGATACTTATATGTTTTGTTAAAGGTTTTGTTTTCAAAACTCCTGATCAGGTGTAATAGTTATGTTTACGGATGGTTTATCTTGATTCCTTTATGTTTTCGTTAAAAAGTTTGGTTATGTATATAAGAAATAAAGTTTCATGAGGAGACTTTATATCTTTACTTCCGCTTTGTATATCGAGTTTGTTCATGTTTGAGTATCGTAATGGTCGTTTGGGGACGGTCGTTACAGTTTGGTATCAGAGCCCAGGTCCTTCCGTAACTCCATCCATTGCCACACACCGCTCGACATCTCTCAGGTAAGTGAGTAGTTTGAGGCATATAAGAATAACCACAAGTTTCTATAAGTGAATTAATTACAGATGTTGGATATATATATATATATATGTGTGTGTGTGTGTGTGTGTGTGTGTGTGTGTGTGTGTGTGTTGTTACATTTGTTGTTAAATTAACTCTCTCGCACAGAATGACACGTGAAGACCAAGGTAACGAGGATGGTTCGTCAATTAGTAATGCAGAGCTGGCCCGTGTTGTAGCTGAACTCCGAAGGCAAATTGCTGATCAAAACATCCTTATTGCGCGCCTAACAGTTGAGGCAGGAAGCGGAAACAATAATAACAACAATCAACATGAGAATGAGCACCAAAATGACTGGGGAAGAGGAGGGCATCAAGAGACAGGGTGGAACGAGGTGGTTCGTCGAGAGCCATTACTGATCACGTGGAAGAAGGCACACCCTGAGGACTTTGAGGGTGGGGCCGACCCCCTCAAAGCTCGAGACTGGTTGAAGAAAGTTGAGGGCCTAGCTGAAGGACTCGAGTTGAGGGATAACGAGAAGGTCAAGTGTGCATCTTACAGCCTGACGATGAGCGCGAGGACCTGGTGGGAGACAGTGAAGCAGAGGGTCAACACCGCCACCATGACATGGGAGCAATTCTCAAGGGAATTCAACGACAAATATCTAAACCCCAGCAGGATGACAAAATTTTGGGATGAACTCCATGCCCTCACCCAGGGGTCGATGGATGTGTTGGCACTGGCGACCAGACTTACTGATCTCTTACAGTTGTGCCCCACCGCAGCTCCCACCGAAGAAGATAAGACCAGAATATTCCTGAGAGCGCTGAGGCCGGAGATAGCTGTCCATGTTAGGAGGGGCAACGCGACTCCAGACACCTTGACTGAGTGTGTCAATGTTGCTACTCAAGTGGAATACTATGTTTCAGCTTTACAGACAAGTGTCATAACCTCATCAGTGACTCAGCGTCCATCAACGCAGAACTCAGGTGGAGGGCAATCGCAAAGATGGCAAAGGAACAAGAAGAGGCCTTATTCAGAGTCCAGTGGGAAGGGATCTAGTTTCACCCCATCCCGTCAGGAGAAGATCATACGACACCCATTATGCAACAAGTGTGGCCGCAACCATCCCGGGCAGTGCCGTTTTGGAGGTACAACTTGCTACATCTGCGGTCAGGAGGGTCACTTTGCTAGATCTTGTCCGCGAAGAGGGCAACCACAATCAACGGGTGGAAAAGGCATAGTTAGCTCCGGGGCAATCCACCACATGCAAGCGTACATTGAGGGTCCTTCCATTCAGCAAGGGAGGTTAGAGGCACCACCAGAGGTTACCGCCGCAAGGGTGTACACGCTGACAAGAGAGGAGGCGTCTCAGAATCCAAATGTGGTCACAGGTCAGGTTTCCATACTAAACATCAATGCTAATGTGTTATTTGATACCGGAGCAACACATTCCTTTGTTTCCAAAACATTTGCAAATAACATTGAGAGACCAAAAGAAGAACCAGAGTATATCTTTTCAGTGTCCCTTCCATCAGGTGAGACTATGTGGTCAAGTCTTTGGCTAAGAGGAGTACCATTATTGCTAGCAGAGAGAGAGTTATATGCGGATTTGGTAGTGCTGGATATGAATGATTTCGATGTGATATTGGGAATGGACTTCCTTAGTAAATATTCTGCCTACATCAGTTGTCGAACCAGGAATGTACGGTTTGAACCAGATGGTACAGAGCCTTTCGATTTTCATGGAGATTCACATAAATTGGAGAAGATGGTAATCTCTGTTCTGAAGGCAAGGAGATATCTTCAGAGTGGGTGCCAAGCATTCTTAGCTCACGTGGTGAGTAAAACTGCAGAGAAGGAGCCTAAACTTGAAACGGTAGCCGTCGTCAAGGAATTTCAGGATGTGTTTCCAGAGGATCTTCCTGGGTTACCTCCACCGAGAGAGATAGAATTTGAGATAGAGCTCATACCAGGAACCAATCCGATATCCAAGGCACCCTACCGTATGGCACCAACGGAACTAAAGGAATTGCATAAGCAACTACAGGAATTGCTCGAGAAGGGTTTCATCCGTCCCAGTTTTTCTCCGTGGGGAGCTCCTGTGTTGTTCGTGAAGAAGAAAGACGGGTCTATGAGGTTGTGCATAGACTACAGGGAGTTAAACAAGGTTACGATCAAGAATAGGTATCCCCTCCCGAGAATAGATGATCTGTTTGATCAATTGAAAGGTGCCACTACTTTCTCGAAGATTGATCTGAGATCAGGATATCATCAGTTGAGAGTCAAGAATGAGGATATTTCAATGGATTTCATTGTAGGCCTACCAAAGACCACAGGAGGATTCGATGGCATTTGGGTAATTGTAGACCGATTAACCAAGTCGGCCCACTTTATTCCCATTGCGGTAACCATGAATGTGGAAAAGTTGGCTTGGTTGTATGTCCGTGAGATAGTCCGATTGCACGGAGTCCCCAAGACTATAATTTCTGATAGAGACTCCAAATTCACATCACACTTTTGGGAATGTGTGCAGCGGTCATTGGGAACAAAATTGAAGTACAGCACCGCCTTTCACCCGCAAACTGATGGGCAGACCGAGAGGGTCAATCGAGTTCTCGAGGATATGTTAAGGGCGTGTGCTATTGACTTTCAGGGCAGTTGGGTGAAATATTTAAGCCTCGCAGAATTCGCTTACAACAATAGTTATCAGGCTACCATTGGCAAGGCTCCTTATGAGGCATTGTACGGAAGAAGGTGCAGGTCCCCTATCACATGGTTTGAGAGTGGGGAAAAGAGAGTAATGGAGGAGCAACTCGAGGGTAGAACTGAAATCATTGAGGAGACATCGGAGGCCATCAAAACCATTCGACAAAGGATTGAGGCAGCTCAATGTCGACAAAAGAGTTATGCCGACGCTAAGAGACGACCCCTTGAGTTCCAAGAAGGGGATCGTGTCTTCGTGAAGGTCACTCCGATGAAAGGGGTGATGAGATTTGGTAAGAGAGGTAAGCTCAGTCCGCGATTTGTGGGACCATATGAAATTACCAAGAAAGTGGGTAAAGTCGCTTATGAGTTAGCCTTACCTGAAGAGATGGCGGGTATACATAATGTGTTCCACATTTCGATGCTCAAAAGATATTTTGAAAGCCCAGAACATATCCTGGTACCTCCACAAGTACAAACTCAACCGAATATGACCTACGAAGAGAGGCCCGTGAAAATACTTGATCGTGAGATTAAGAGACTAAGGAACAAAGAGATAGCGCTGGTCAAGGTATTGTGGCGAAATCACAAAATTGAGGAAGCAACATGGGAACCAGAAGATGCCATGAGGAAGCGCTACCCTGAATTATTCTAAGTTTCGAGGACGAAACTTTTATAAGGTGGGAGGGGTTGTAACACCCCGATTTTAGTAAGCTAGTTATATTAATCATTTTATTTTTTTTTAGTCAGTCAAATAAGTTTATTTTATGAATGGTGTGATTATTATTAATCGTGTATTGTTATGTCAGGTAACGTTGACCGGCAAGCTCCAGAAATCATAAATGAATAAGTAAATAATATGCTGAAATTATCAGTTTATATTTATCTTTAAAATATTTTTTTAATCAGGTTAAAATTCTACTTTCAGAACTAGAAGCATTTTTTTAAGCAGACTAAGACACCCAAATCAGTTATCTTGGCCGAATCGGTGTTTTGGTTAAGAGCCCTAAAAGGAGTAGTTTATACACATAACACACCGCCTTTGTTTTTTTTTTTCAACAACAGTAGCCGCACCGCCTAATTAAATCAATCGGGAACCGACTTCCCTGATCTCCCTATTTTCCCCTTTCTTCCTCTTCATCCAAAGGTTTTCTAATCAGTATTTTGTTGAAGCTCCTTGGTCCCTTGTGTCATCGGCTCTTGTCTAGTAAGTTAATTATCACTCTTCTATGCTTTTGCTAAAGGTTTTACTCTCATGATTTTAGAGTTACGTTCAAAACGAGAGGGATGTTTTGGCCGGACAATTTTTGCTACTAAGGTCTGGTTTTTTTAAATCTGGCAGAATCCTTGTTGTCCGTTTGGAATTTTAAAAAGAAAATTAGGATTCAAAGACAAAACCTAATTTTGTTGCTAACGTTGTTAAAACCCAGGCAGCTGGACATTTTATGTCCTATAGCATCACCTAAATCTGATTTTAAGAGATTTAAGCTATTGGATAGATACTTGCTCAATTGTTTAGCATATGGGTCATATTGTTAATGTCTGATTTTGAATTTAAGTCAAGAGTTTAAGTTGCCAAATTAATATCCTGTAACCTCTTATTCGTATGGTGAAAAAGGATTTTACATCCTAATTTAAAGTTCATATTCATACAAACGTATTTGAAGTTATTAGGAGCAGGTTTAAGGAGCAGGAGTCTATTTCACTTTGTTCATTGTTTTCCGATTTCAGAAAATTTAAATTTCCTTTTACTCTTTAGTAAAAGCACAATTTAGAGTTTAAGTGGAAGTAGACTTTATTCATAAATGATGAGAACGAGTATCCTTTTGAAACTTTATGCTTACAGATTCTTAAGAAAGAAAAATCATTTTGTTTAAAGTATTAGTAAATGTTGGAATTTTCTGAAAGGATAGAATGTTCTAACTATATTATTACATGTAACTAAAGATTTAAGAAGGGGCTTACCGAGAGACGTTATCAAGGTGTCGCACTTAATTGAGTAATCTGAGTTCAACTTCTACAGGTAAGTCATCACCACCTATACATGATAGTTTGAAATAAATTGTGGATGTCTAGCTAATTATGAATTGATATACTTGCTTCATTACTTAAAAGTGTATAGCATGAGATTTGTGTAAACTCCAAGTTAGATGTATGGATTGACAGGTGTGTAAATTGTAAAGTTATTGTGTTATCAAATATGAAGTATTCAAGTTCTAGGAATTGTATGAAGTAATTATAAGTAATGTTTTAAGGTAGCCGTGCCCCCAAGTAACTACCTGAGCTGAGCGTAGCGGGACGTCCTTCCGCGGGGAGTCCCGGGGTTACTTCTGATGGGCTGCGGGCTAGCTACCCGAGATCATTGGCGAGGGGCCAGGACACGAGCTACGGGCCCATAAATGAAAAGGACAAAGTGAAGAAAGAATGATCTATAAGGAAACTTTTCGTTAGTTTCGATATTTGAAGCTTTTGAGTATGTGGTTATGCAAAGTGCTTTTGAGTATTCTAGCTTGTGTATCTATTTATAGCTAGCTAAGACTCCGTTATTTTAGTGGATATAATGGTGACTTACTAAGCAAATTTTGCTTACGAGACTTCTATTCTCTCGTGTTCTCATGTATAGGAAATGAATAAAGGATGGAAGCTTGAGAGAATGTACAGAGCTGGTGACAGGGTTTTGGATGGGTTAACGGAGAAGACCTGGCTGGTTGTTATGTTTTGTATTAGTACTTTGATACTTATATGTTTTGTTAAAGGTTTTGTTTTCAAAACTCCTGATCAGGTGTAATAGTTATGTTTACGGATGGTTTATCTTGATTTCTTTATGTTTTCGTTAAAAAGTTTGGTTATGTATATAAGAAATAAAGTTTCATGAGGAGACTTTATATCTTTACTTCCGCTTTGTATATCGAGTTTGTTCATGTTTGAGTATCGTAATGGTCGTTTGGGGACGGTCGTTACATATGTAGATGCTGATGGCCTGCTATAATGGAAGAAGATCACGATTTATAAGAGTTTTGGGAGCAACGGAACCTTTCTTGTTCCTGTGTGGGATTGGAAATAAATGAGAAAACGAACTTAACTCTTGTGAAACTGTAAAATACGTAGTATCACCTTTGGTTATATTGGACGGATTCAATCCTACATTCCTACTACACCTAATCTCTCCTATTGAACAACAACAACATCCAACAACAACATCCAAGTCTTAGTCCCAAAAAATATTGAGGTCGGCTAACATGAATCGATACATGATATCACCACCAAAAGGAAAAGAAACAAAATAAAGATAAAAATATAAGCTATTATGAAAAAGATAATATAAAAAGAAATGAATATACCTAAAAGTGATAAAATAAAAAGGATAAAAATAACGTTTATATATGTAAGGATAAAAGGATTAAAAAAACAAGAAAAAATGAAGGGAAAAGATAATACGAGATCACTCCTCCACACGAATACCCGCCCTCCACTTTACTCTCTCCAAAGTCGTACCCTCATCTAACCCAAGAAGAAGCATATCACTTCGGACTTCCCTAATCCACGTCTGTTTGGGTAATTCTATCTAGAGTAATTCCTCTAATCCACCAAACTTGCCCAAGTAACGGAACATATCGTTGACCGGTATCTCCTGACCACTGCTTCAATATAACACTCTTTTCCTCAACTTTTGAGTTCAGTCTATTTATTTTAATTCAAGCCTGCTTCAATCCTACAAACAACTCAGGCTATGTTCGACATGCCACTTCAGCTAAAAAAGGACTGGAATTCATTAAATTGAGTCAAATGTTTTTAAATTAGTCTTGTTTGTTTTAATGGCTGATTTTGGCTTCAACTGATAAAATAGGTTGAATTCAAGTGTTGCGTCGAGTAGCGTTTGTGTTCAGCGAGTGGTTTCCGAACTTTGCATTCCCGTAATATCCCTTCTTCCTGTAAGCCAACTCTGCTGATATAGCTCCTTTATGTATGTTTCATATCCTATTTCGAGGTTCACTCACAAGACAAAAGCTATAGAGAAAGTATGTAATTCCCTTATGCAATTCGTCTCGCTGAGTAAATAAACTTCAAGAACAAGATAACTCGATGTTTTCTTTGCTGATAACACCTCTCAATGATATTCCTCTCGACCTAAATTTGAATTTTATGTCATTGAGTAATTAAAATTTAAGAACATAGTAACCATAAAATCCCTTTACTATTTGCGGATGGAAACATAAGGTGTTGAAATCCCGTACCGGAAAATTGTGAAGCAATAATGATGTATTAAGATCTAGGGCACTCCTCATATCAGGTTGAATTTTAAAATTACTTAGGTTGTCATCTTTTGTGCTTTGCCTCATATCCAATTAATCTGTTTTTTTTTTTGGAAAACTCTAATTAACATGTTGTTATTCATCTTCAAGTTCTCTTCTTTCAAATAGATAACATGTGTCAAGACTTGATCAACACTAATTTTCAAAACTGACATTTAACACTCTTTAGTGCTAATTATTAAAATTTTGATGAACCTAAAAATCTTATCCACGTAGATGAAGACCATTGAGAATCCAAAGGCACAAATGAAACGACAAGAGGCTAGTCAAAATGTTGTGCTATTGTAAGTGGAGTCCATAATTGTACTATCATAAATATGTGTTCAAGTGAGACATGCATCTCAACTGTTAGATTTATCATAAATTTTTTATTATTATATCTCAATTGAATCATAATTTTGTATTATAAATTTTGGCGAATGAAAAAGATATGTGTAACTTTCCTCGATATGCTTTTTCTTACTTTATTAAAAAAATTAAATATAATTATTTCATAATTTGATAAATTTTACCCATTTAGTCACAATTTTGAGTCATTATGACACATAAGATTATATCATGTTAAATCGATATGTGAATCATGTTTCTCATGCAATTGCAGGAGCGGTTGTTTCTCTGTCAAGTTGTAGGAGAGCTTTGATTTGTCACTTGATTCTATTGCAAGCATTTTGGCTAATGATTATCTAGATTAAATGAATGCATTTGTTTACTCTAAAAAACAATACTTTATCATATTTAGGGAGTGTGTTTGTGGTTGTTTCTACTTTAAAGTGATTTTGAATAAAGTTTTTAATAGTAAATGTTGATAATGTTTGAGAAAAAATGTTTATGAAAAAGTAAAAGTTAGTGGTGTGTTGGTAAAATAAGTGTTTGTTGTGTGATAAAAAAAGTGAATAGCACTTAAAGCACCCTTCTATTACTTGCTTCCAGATTTTAACTTTTAATTGCTTAATTTTTGCAAACACTATCTCTTGAAAAGTAAAAACAATACTTTCAACTTTAAAAAAAAACAAAAGCTAAAAAACATTTTTTGTAAATAATCTCTTAAATAAATAACACAAAATTTTAATCACAGTATGTTTTTATTTGGACTGTAATTTGCTAGTCTGGCTGATCTAGTATGGTCTGGTAATGTCTGGTTTCTTTGTATTTTTATAACTATCAAGTCTGGTCTGGTCTGAACTGATCTGATCTGGTCTGATCTGAACAGGTCTGGTCTGGGACCGATTACAGTCCAAGTAAGGATGTTTTTACTTGGATTGTAATTTGTTGGTTTGGTCTGATCTAGTCTGAACTGGTTTGGTCTGATCTGATGTCTTTGTATTTTTATAACTACTCAAGTCTGGTCTGATCTCGTATTACGGTACAAGTAAAACTTCTTAAAAACATCCTTAAAAACTTCTTAAAAGAATTTTAATAGCACTAAACCAACTCTAATTCTTTACCCATTAACACGGCAATCGACAGGATTACAGGAATAGTTCGATTAACCACAGAGAGAGTTGCCGGCCAAAACCGGCAGGCCGCACCTGCATATTTTTTGCCTCACCAAGATAAGAACTAGGAGACCCGTTTTAAAATCCAAACCCGTATAACTATCCACGACAAAGAACCTATAAACGCGTCCCAAAATTTTCTACCCGATTTGAATCAAGTCAAATCTGGAACTGGTTCAAATCGAGAGAGAAATCACATTTCTTCGTCGCCGGAGAAAATGGGGGATTTCAACCTCGCGCTGTTGATTGTGGCCATAGTGGTGTGCGTTATCGTCTTCCTCATCAGCATATACCTCCTCATCAACTACCAGCACCCAGATGATGTTAACCAGGCCTACTTTCCTAAGTTCGTCGTCGTTTTCGGCCTCTCCGTCGCCGCCATCTCCATTCTCATGCTGCCCGCAGATGTTGCTAATCGTCAAGCGTGCCGCCACGCAATTTATAACGGCGCCTGCAATCTGACGCTTCCGATGAAGGACCTCTGGCTTGTCATCTACATTGTCGATGCTTTGCTGGTCTTCTTCGTTATTCCATTCTCCATTTTCTACTATGAAGGCGACCAGGATAAGTCCGTAATTGACATTCTGTATTAGCCTGTGATAATCACTTGGTTGAGATATTGTCTATAATTGATCTTAATACGGAGTAGTATTTGCTCTCTGTTTATTCATTTACAGGAGTCTTGGCAAGAGAATTAAGAGCGCTTTATGTTGGGTAGTAGTAACAGCAGTTGTTTGTACTCTAGTTCTTGGGATTTTATATGGTTAGTGTTCTGAATTTCTGTTTATGTTGCTTATATATTTTGTCTAGGCTTTTAGCTATTACCGAGTATATAGGATGCTAGGACAATTTGGTCTTGGTTTTGGATAAAGAGGCGACATAAGATTATCATTTAGGCGTATTGCTCATATTTGGTCTGAAGATAAAATATCAGTAGATGTGGGAGTATAACTCGACTACACCATTTAACAAATCAAATGCACTCACCCTTTTTCCAAATTGTGACTAGCTTGCAATCTTGTAAACCGGAGTCTCTGCTTCCCCTCTTTCCTTAATATGTGTACTAAAAGTATCGGTAGTTTGTTAATTGTTGTAACATGGATTGCTCTTGACTCAACAACCAAGTGTTCTACCATAACTGTTTTGTTTTAGGGCTTGCTGGAAAGGTAGACTTCACTGTAAGACACCTTTCTTCTGGTACTACTGCCTTTCCAAACACATTTACATTCTCTGGTGGTGAGCCATGTATAGGAAGTGCACGACAGGTTTGTCAACAGATTGTAATTTCAATATTTTATGATCACCTGTTTAGTAAATGTAATCATCTAGCATAACTCAGTAGTTTTTGCTGATTTCACTACTCCCAGTTCTTACATGCTTTAACTTATAGTGTTCTGCATATTCCGCAAGTGCTTCATCCGAAAAGACTTGGACGATGCGCACTACATTCCCCGAATATGTTGTTGCTTTGGCTACAATTGTTGGATCAGTGCTTTTCATGGTATGTACATGTGTTTTTTTTATCGTAGTCAGGAATAGGAAGTTATCGTTGTTAAAAATGGATTGATGTAATTTTATATGTACTCATACAATTCTATCTTGGAAGCTAACAAGATACAAAGCCTCTTTATTATCCTCAAATGGAATACATGGGTGCAACTAAATATTTGAAATACACGATATCATATATAACAGTGTTTTATCAACTTCATAAGCTGGAGTCATTTTCTTACGGGGAATTTTAGTGCTGGAGTCATTTTCTTACAGGGAATTTTAGTGCTGCTTACTTTCATTTGAAAACTTGATCATGGCCGTCAGATTGAAATTCTAGTCAATAGTCATCCAAGATCTGATGGCCCATAGTAAAAGTCCTGACAGTGTCCTGTCAGGTAGTTTTGACCTGATCATTTCTATGTGAAGTGAAGTCACTTTATTACTTTCATCTTGCAGAGTGGCTAGTTTGAGTAGTTTCATACTTTTGTCTCTCTGTAATGGTTTAATGGAAGTGTCTTTATTGCTTCATTACCCCCTACTTAACACACACATGCACTTGTGTATATACTCCCTCCGTTTCAAAATAAACCTCACAGTCAAACTTTTTGGGTCAAACTTGTTAAACTTTGACCGCTTATTACTCAAAATTAATAATATTTTATCCCAAAAAAATT